ACTATCAAAATTTAAAACTACCAACAAATCAATTATTCTTTTAGGTAAACGAGCCTTGTTTTATTATAAACTTATTAGATAAAGTTTTTACTTTGATTTCAAAATTATGCTTCTAAAATGAAAAGCTATAGCAAATTATATTTTTAGTCCCTAACTTTATCTGATTTTTTTTCAAATTTGGTCTTAAAAAATTTTATCTTCCGATTTTGGTTCTTATTTATACTTTTGTAACGGTGCTCGAAGTAAAATTACCATATTTTTTGGATCAAAATTTTAAAAGTTACCTATACACGTTCAATAAAAATAATCATTTTTACTTGGAACATGACCAAAAACATTGAAAGAATCTCGCATAAAAACCCAAAATTGCAAGATAAAACATTATTAGGACCAATTTGCAAAAAATAGCTTATATTTAAAGACAAAAAATGTAGTTTACTCTAAATAAGATATGAAAATCATCAAAGCAACATAACAACTGACAAGTGTATCCGGCCAATTTAACGGCAAACACAATGAACAAACATTCCTTCGGTATATTGCCGTCGACAAAAAAGGAAACAGGGGGTGGCGAAAGCTGTAGAGATGACATGTGTATAAAGATAATGAAGAAAGTTAATGAAAACATAATCAAAGATCGCTAATCATATGACATATTGCCCTTAATCAGATGCAATTGTATAAAGATAACAAAGAAAGTTAAAAGCTTGTGGGCAAATATGGCCTCCATTATTGTCAAAGCTTTTGGTGTTTGGGTGTCTAAAGCATGGCAAAGATGGTGGTTTTCTGAATGAAGGGCGACAGAAAGCTATGGAGATGACAGACCAATGTTGTAAAAATCAGTCTAGGCGGCCAATTGATCGGCACCTAGGTGCTTGGCAGCCTCCAACCACCTACAAATAGGTGTTAGAGGGTTAACTATTCAACCTTGGTCAATATCAGTCAAAACCGGTCCAATTCAAACCAGGTCGGTCCAGCTAACCATCGGCTCAATGGAGCCAGCTAGCCCAACACATAGTTAGGTTTGATTTTCAAAGGAGCCAACTTTCCTTTTATAAGATATGTGTGCCTTCATTTATTATCCCACCAGCGATGTGGGATGCGAAACTTTTAACAATTCTATACATCTTTACACATGGTTGTCGCTTGGTTCACAACTCTATCGAACACCATCGATACAACCCTCATTCTTCACTGGAAAAACCAACTTCAGTCCATGTTCAGCGACTGCCTCATCTACCATCGCACCATCTCACTAAAGATATTATCCCACCATTACAGTCGAACCTCCTCTTTATACCACCATTGTTAACCATCGAAATCATCAATGGGAATCTCCCTCGAAGTTCTAGTACCATGCCTAGATCGGTTGCTGATCATCTGCTTCCTCCTCAGCACCTCCTTAATCAGGTATGGTTGTTGTCTCCGATTACAAATTTTGGTTAATTATACGCAATTGGAACTTATTTTGATTTTAATTTACAAATATTATGTGTTTCTATGTATCAATTGCTTCGATCTTTTTCATCACCTCTGGTTACCCATCATCCATACCAATCATCTCCTGTCCATGTATGCAAGATGCGGTCAACTCGGGTACGCGCAGGGTACGCACATAGGATGTTTGATGAAATGCCTCAAAGAAACTTGGTATCTTGGATTGTTATGATCTCTACGCTAAGAATTCTAAGTTCACAAAAACAATCACCCCATTTTTATGAAATGTGCGTCTATGGTGAAATTCCAAACCAATTTGTGTTTTCCATTGTGATTCAAGCTTGCTCGTCTCTCAAATCTATCTAAGTTGGGAAGCAAATCCATTGTGTTGCTCTTAAGGTTTGGGTTTTGTTATGAGCTTTTTGTGGGTAGTAATTCGGCAGACATATACCAAAAATGTGGGTCTATCATTAAGGCTTGAATGGTTTTTCAGGAGATGTCTTCTTTGTAGTACACTTCGTGCTTGTGGACCTTTAAAAACATTTAATATTAAAGAAACAAAAAGATATATGTTGCCAGTTTACCTTGCACCTTGATCTTTTTGTTATAGTTTTATTTGTTTTCATTTATCAATTGCTTCAATCTTTTTCATTATTAATGAATTAGGTTGTATACATGTAATGTGATCCATATAAACATATAGTTCAGGTTGTTTTTCACAGCTATGTACGATTGTTTTTGTAAGGCTTAAATACAAGAAATAACAATGTATTTTTATTAATATGTTTTTTGTTTAATTTTGATTTATGTTTAATTTGAATTTTGTATGGTGTTTATATAATTGTGTGATAATTTTTTTTAATTCTTAGGATTAATGTTATATTTATTAACTTGTTAATTTGTTTACTTATATTCTTAGGATTAATGTTATATTTTATTAATTTTTTAATAATTAATGGTTCCCGATTAATCCCCGCCTAGCCGATTAATTCCTTGACCCAGTCCACCGTCGAGTGATTTCTGCAACCTTGTGCAGACATATATGACCTCCATTGTAACGAACTTTTAGTTTTGTTCATATTTAGTCACTGAACTTCAACTTGTTTATATTTAATTACTAAACTTTTTTTTTATTTATCCATAAATTATTTGAAATTTTTCATATTTTATCTTTATGACCGGTTGCAGGATCGTACAATCTCACCTAGACAAATCAATTCAAAATCATACCTGAATTTTTTAGGCTAATTAAATGAATCGAATATACATCATATAAAACTTAATTTGAATTGTTTATCTTTAAATTATATATTGAAGATGTGTTTTTATGTTTTAAAATATTTATTTCACTATTTTATATTGTAAACTATTTCTAATAAGATCTTACTGTTAACGTTTTGCAAGGGAAAAAAACGATGTTATAGGCAGGGGCGTAGGTAGCATGTCACAAGGTGGATCCTAGGACCTATTTTTTTTTTTTAATAGAACAAGGATGTATAAAAAAAATTTAGGAACTACCTAATTTTTATCAAATGACCTACCTAATTATTTTTGGCAAAAGAATACTTATCATTAGCCCATATATTTTATATTTAACAGCCTAATATCTTAACCCACTTTCATTAATCCACAGCCCAATCTAATTATTTTTGAAAAAAAAAGGATTTTGTAATTAATTTTGGCAAAAGAAACAGAATGTCGGCTACCTTGTGCCGACTGTCGTCTCTCTCCATTCGTCCAAATTCCAGCCACAACATTATAGAGCATTAGAGCCTAGTATTAGTAATTAAGTTAGACTCCAGCGAAAGTAGCCAAGTGATCAACACTCAACAGGTTTGTATTTTTAAATTGTAATTTTGTATTAATTATGGTTGATTCGTTGATTTGTATAATTCACTAATCGTCCACCACAACAACAGGCTTTTAACTTTATACGAATAATGATTGAATATTGATTCATTTATTTGAAGAACATGTATTTATTACTTACTAGCAAACATCATGAGAGTAATACTTGAATTTAATTAGATTAATGTGTAGTTAAATGACCCACATATCAGTGTAATTATTTAGAATTCTTGTCTTGATTAGTTGATTAACATTCTTAAAATTTGATTAATATCCATTCAATTTCACAATTTATTTTGACTTGAAATTTGAGGACATTGTTAAGTTGTTATTGTTTTGATTTTATGATATGTATATTTGATAACAAAATATTGATAATGGTTATTAGTTTGAGACTCTTGTAACATACAATTTCATAATTCAATTTCAGAATCAAGAATAAAGAATCATTGAATTAACAATGTCTTTGCATAAGTTTTATAAAAAGAAAGCAGATAACGAACAACAACATAAGTATACAAAGGTGGATTTAAACTCATTACCTGTTGATCTGTTTGAACGACCAAGTATAGAGTTCTATCATGTAAACCAAAGAAATGAAATTAGAAGAGCATACTTGCAAAAAGGGCCTTTCCAACCTCTAAACCATAAATTCCCACCACGTGATTTTGGAGGTAAACCTCGAAGATTTATTCAATCTTGGTTTGATGATAATAAATATTGGTTAGAATATAGTATAAAAGAGGATGCTGCATTCTGTTTATGTTGTTATCTATTCAAATCTAGTATACCAAATCAAGGTGGATCATATCATTTTGTAAAATCTGGATTCAAGGCCTAGAATAGGAAATCAGGAATAGATAAACACAAAGAAGGAACTCCACACATTATTGCTGTCCAAAAGTGCCAAAGTTTGATGAACCAAAGACAATCAATCACGTCTGCTTTTGAGAAACAAACTACTTTACAAGAGAAAGAATATCGTATTCGTTTGAATGCTTTAATTGATTGTGTTAGGTTCCTACTTCAGCAAGGGTTAGCATTTCGTGGTCATAACGAGAAAGAAGACTCGGATAATAAAGGTAACTTTCTTGAACTATTACAGTGGTTAGCCGATCGATGTGATGTTGTAGATCGTGTTGTGTTAAAGAATGCCCCAAAAAATACACAAATGAAATGCGGTGAAATCCAGAAAGATATTGTGCAAGCATGTTCAGATGTAATTTTAAATGTTATTATGGGAGAGCTTGGAAATGATTTTTTTGCAATTTTAGTAGACGAGTCACGTGATGTGTCATGTAAAGAACAAATGGCATTGGTTTTGCGATTTGTCAATAGAAAATGTGAAGTTGTAGAAAGGTTTGTTGGCCTTAGAAATGTTAATGGCACTTCAGCTTTGTCACTAAAGGCTACCATTTATGATATGCTTTCAAAACGGAATTTGAGTCCTAGTAGGATTAGAGGACAAGGCTATGATGGTGCTAGTAATATGAGTGGTGCATTCAATGGATTGAAGACTTTGATTATGAATGAAACAAAATCTGCACACTTTGTTCATTGTTTTGCTCACCAATTACAGTTAGCCCTAGTGTTTGTTGCAAAGAATCACACGACGGTTAATGATTTTTTTTGATGTGGTTTCTCGGCTGTTAAATATTATTGGATCTTCTTACAAACGACAAGCTAAGTTAAGAAAAAAACAAGCAGATAAAGTTATGGAAGCATTGGCTGAAGGTATGGTTTATTTGGTTTATGTTCATTTGTTTATGCTAATTATTCGACTAATTCATTTCTTATGTGGTTTATTTTAGGTGAGCTTGAGAGTGGTACTGGTTTGAATCAAGAAGTCGGTATTAAACGACCGTCTGATACTCGATGGGGTTCTCATTTTGCATCTTTATTAAATATCCAAACCATATATGCTTCCATTTGTGATGTACTTGAAGACCTTGGTGAATTTGATAGTGATCGTGATCGTAGAGCTGAAGCAATCCGCATCTTAAAATGGTTAAAATCATTTGATTTTGTGTTTTGTCTACATTTGACGATTGATATCTTGGGAGTGACAGATCATTTGAATACAATACTACAAAGAAAAGACCAAGATATCATAAATGCCATGAATCAAGTAAGTAGTTCAAAAAAAGCAATTCAAGAAATTAGGGATGTAGGATGGGAACCACTTTTAGAGAAAGTTACTTTGTTTTGTGCTAAAAACGAAGTTAAAGTTGTGGATTTGGAAGATGAATATATTTAATGGATACAGTCGTCGCAGAGGTTCACATGTTAGTAATGTTTCTTATTACCAACTACCACATTGATTTATAAATTTATTGTGTTTTATCGTTAGTTATTAATATATGTGTATATATTTTTTTTTAAGGTTAACAACTTGCACCATTATCAAGTTGATGTATTTAAGGAGGTGATTGATATGCAACTTCAAGAGCTGAACCATCGCTTTAATGAAGCAAACACGAATTTACTTCTTTGTATTGCTTGTTTGTGCCCAAGTGAATCTTTCAAAGCCTTTGATTTAGAAAAAATAATGAAAATGGCTTCACTTTATCCTGAAGAGTTTCCAACAGAATATGATCTTCGAGTTCTTGAAGTGGAACTTGGAAATTACATTAAAGATGTGCGAGAAGATGAACGATTTAATGATTTGAAGAGTATTGGAGACCTTTCCAAAAAGATGGTTGAAGAAAAGAAGCATATAATATTTCCTAAGATTTACCTTCTTATGAAACTTGCATTGATCTTACCCGTAGCAACAGCAAGTGTAGAACGCGCATTTTCAGCAATGAAGTTGATAAAGACTGATATACGTAACAAAATGAGTGATCAGTTTTTGAGTGATAGTTTAGTGTCTTATATTGAAAAAAATGTTTTAAAAGGTATTGGTAACGATGCAATTGTGACAATGTTTCAAGATATAAGACCTCGTAGGGTTCAATTGTAAGAACTTTATTATAACTATTGAAATGATGTTTAAATATTTTAGTCATACAACCTGACCCGTCACCGTTAGTATTTTTTACACTTTCATATTTTTTTAGTTTTATTTACATAAGTAATCATGTAGTTTTTGGTTCTAGATTCGTCCTTGGTTATAGGATCTAATATTGATAGCCTTGATTAAAAGTATTGACACGAGGAGTTTTTATCCATATTAGTGTTATACATAAAACTATTTCCCATTCTAGTATACATTCAAAACTATTTACCTTATTAGTATTATTTTGAATTTAAAACTATTATTATTGTTTTTTATGATTAAAAACAAAAAAAAAATAACGCTCCCTACATGCTGGAACGGAACAGCGTACAGAAAAAAAAAAAAAAACGAAAACAGGCTAGGGCTTCAATCGTCTTCTTCAGCCAACGGCTTCATCCGCCATAGCCAGCCGCCTGTGGCTTCTTCCTCCTACGCCGGCCACCTACCTGCAACCTCTTCTGCCCGTCGCCGTCCTCCTACCGCCTCCATAAACTCGCCGGTTTCAAGGTATGCAACCTATTTTCCTTCTCGTTTTTTGTAGTTTTTTCTGTTTAATTCATTGCACTCTCATTTTTTCTTGATTTTGATCCTTCTCCACCGAATTGAAGATCAAGTTCTGCATCTGTTTGATTTTTTTGTATATGTCACAGCTTGTTTTTTGATGTTTTTAGATGGAATTGATTGCAATTTTTACTTCTGTTTCTTTTTTCTTGTTGTCATAGATAATATGATCAATTTTTGATTAGTTGTTGTTTCTTTTTTCTTGTTGTCATAGATGATATAATCAAATTTTGATCAGTTTTTGTTTCTTTTTTCTTGTTGTCATAGATGATATAAGCAATTTTTGATTAGTTTTTGTTTCTTTTTTCTTGTTGTCATAGATGACATGATGAGTTTTTTGATTAGTTTTTGTTTGTTTTTATTTGTTTTGTAGATGAATTCTATTAGTTTTTTATTAGTTTTTGTTTGTTTTTATTTGTTTTGTAGATGAATTCTATTATAGATATGATTGACAATGATGATTTTTCTATAATCTCTCAAGCTGCTGTTATAACTAATATGATGAAAAAATTGTATGTTTAATTTTATGATGGCTAAAAAATTGTATGTAAAAAATAGATATTTAAAATAAAAAACAAAAATAAAAAATATAAATATAAATTTTTATTTAAAAAAACACTAAAAGTTTGAAAAAAAAATTATTATTTAGAAAAACAGTAAAAATGTGAAATAAAAAAGAAATGGAGAAAAGTTGGATATATTTAAAATAAAAAAACATTAAGAAAAGCTGAAAAATTAAACAAAAATGAAAAAAATACTAAAAAGTAAATAGTTTTAAAGAATGGGAAATAGTTTTGTCTATAACCCTACTATGGACAAAAACTCTTGACACGAGTGAGAGTACTATGATGCAAGCTATTGACACGCGTGTTAACAAGAATCGAACACTGAGCGGCCTTTTATTATATGTCCCCACTACTGACCAACCCAATGTCCTCCACCGACGACAGCGACACCTCGCCGGAGAAGTTAAAACTACGCTATCACCGCCGGCAAAAGCCGACGAAAATGTCTTCCAGAGTTCCTCAAACTATCGTCTTATCACGCCGATAAGTCCTCCACCTCTTCTGCGACGTCGTTTCGTTATATCTTATTTCTATCCTTGTCGCTTTCAATCGTTCCCATTATAAATTTTGATTCCTACCTTCGATCAGTCAAACACCAGTGACGCCATGAATAAGCTTATCTACTCATTCATCTTCATCGTCTTCGTTTTTTCCTCGGAAAGGTACTTTCTTTCTCTCTTTCATGCTGTTCAACCTTACAGTGATTGGAATTAAAACCATGTCATTTATTTACCCATATTTGGTCAAAAACAAAAGAGTCTGACATTCGAATTCGTGTTCTTAAATTTAATCAACAGAAATGGGTTTATTTTTGGTCTTATTCATATGGGTTCCCTGAATCAAGCTGTAAAAGCTTACGATAATAGAAATTTTGTCTGATTATTTGATAAATAATTGTAGAATAGCAATACCTTTTTCTTGAATTCGATTAATTCAAATGTGGGGTTTGCTTTCGGTTCTAGTGATCTAGCTGACATTAATTTTGACTTTCAAGAATCACGATTAGTTTCAAATACGTGACAACACTAATCTAATGGAAGGAGATCTTTTATTTTTTGTGCAAAAAACAGTGAAAAAACTGAATCTTTTATGCTACTTTAAACGGGTTTGTTCTTGAATTTGATTTAAACACAGCCTTTTTCCCCTTCAGCTCAAAATGAGAGTTGCTTTTGACTTTCCAGAGTCAAAACAGAGCAATTCATAATATCTAAATGAATAAGAGTTGATGGTTTATGCCTTTATGGATAATTAGTTTATGACAACATTAATCTATAAAACGAGAACTTAGGGGGTGTGTGTTTAACGTGCTTTTTTGGAAATACGAATTAGATAATCAGTTATCAGTTGTACAAATTTGTTATTTCTTGTTTTTGAAACAACTACTTTATAACTACTTACGTTTCTTGAAATCCTTGTCAATTTGATATAATTTGAAAGGAATGCTCCTCTTTAAGCATAAGTTGAAGTTCTAAATCTTGCTTTAACTGCAATGTGTCTTTTTTTTCCCCCTTTTTCTTTTTGGTTTTGGATTATGCGCTTGTTGTGGTGGATTTTTAATATTAACATGATTTAAGATGCTCGATTGTATAATTATTAGAAATATTTTTTTGTTTCAGGGTCTTATCAGAAATCCATGCTAGCATACCACCTAGAGGTTGGAATTCATACGATTCGTTTTGTTGGACAATCTCTGAAGACGAGTTTCTTCAAAATGCTCAACTTATTTCACAGAAATTGCATGCTCATGGCTATGAGGTCTTACCAATAATCCCTCCATCCCATAAAAATTTAAACTTTTCCATTTTGGAATAGTCCCAAGTTATAGTTTCCTATTTTCCCAATTTCATCATCACAAAAAGATAGAAGATATTGATGTGGGCTTCATTCTTTCTTAATTTCAAAAGAATATTTTAGATATTCTATAAACAGTCAAACGTCTATATAAAACTATGATTTTCGGCCCATAAAAATCACAACTTTTCCACTTTTGAAGAATTTGAAGTTACAATTACCAATTTGCCCGTTGTCATCTTCACAAAATGTGTATGATGTTGATGTGTGCTTCTTTCCTTTGTGATCATTAAAGGGTATTTCAAATATTTGATAAATTACTCAAACATGTCTTGAAAACGACATTCTTGAATTTAACAACCATTTCCAAGAATCATCTATTTCCATTGAAAAACATCGATGTTATAACTCTACCTCTTTGTGATTTCTTGAATTTGATAAAGGGTATTTCAGACTTTCAATAAAATAGTCAAATAGTTCTCCAAAAACGATATTCTTGAATTAACATAAGCATTGTTGTTTAAACCCTTTCTCTTTGTGATTTCTTGATTTTGTTATAGTATGCGGTTGTGGATTACCTTTGGTATAGAAAGTTAGTCCATGGTGCTTATGTTGATTCGCTTGGATTCGATGTGATTGATGAATGGGGGAGGATGAGTCCGGACCCACGTAGGTGGCCTTCATCAAAAGGTGGCAAAGGGTTCAAAGAAGTAGCCAAGAAAGTTCATGACATGGGTTTGAAGTTTGGGTTCCATATTATGAGAGGCATAAGCACACAAGCCGTGAATGCAAACACCCCTATCTTAGACATTACAACGGTATTACTCCTAAAATTTTAAGCTCAAAAGATGAAATATTTTATTTGATTTAAAGTCTCCATTCAATATCTATGTAGTTTTATCATAAGGTTACATACATAGGATGAAGTTTAGTTTTATGTTCTTCATTTGTTAGTTGAGGGTAGCAATGTACTTTGCCTTTACTAATATAGATAGTGTACTTTAATTATTACCCATGAAAATTGCAAGAGCTCTTGTTTCAAGGTTTCATAGTTATGGGAAGTTTCCCAAGTTGCTATTACAATGTTTCACTAAAAATTACAAATTGTGATGATGATGATTTTGGTTTACAAGATTCTTTTATCTTATCATTTTTTGAAGTGCATTTGAGTATTTCAGACATTTGATAAATAAAATTTCATAGTTACGACTTACGAGATTGATGATAGAGATTTTGTTTCACGACATTCTTTACTTATTGTTTTTTGAAGGCTTATTTCAAACATTTGATTGATGGTTGAGTACTTTCCTAAAAAGTATTGAATCAAAATGGAAAGATGCATTTTTTAATACTTATTTAGGTCGACAAGATTCTTTCTTTTGCTATTGTTGAAGGGTATTTTGGACATTTGACTAACAAAACACTTCCCTAAAAGTGTGTGCTTGGTCAAACATTGCAATTTCATGCAATAGTGGGAGCAAATTTTAATCGTCTTTCTTTGAAGGACATTACAAGATTCTTGATTTGGTTATTGTTGAAGGGTATTTTAGACATTTGACTAATAGCACACCTCCTAAAATGTGTTTATTTAAACATTATTTGAATTATGAATAGGGAAAAGCGTACACAGAAGCCGGAAAGGTTTGGCATGCAAAGGATATAGGATTGAAAGAGAGGTCTTGTGGTTGGATGAAAAAATGGTTTCATGAGTGTGGACACTACATTAGGAGCTGGAAGAGCCTTTTTAAAGTCCCTTTATCATCAATATGCCGAATGGGATGTCGATTTTTGTAAGTTTCTCACTATTCTTTAAATAACACTTCTTCCATCTTCTACACTAGCTCCATATTTGAAACTATGGTGCAAGTTATTTGTAGCCCACAATGTGTGAAGGGTTGTTATAAACTTTTTAAGCTAGAATATCTCATTATCTTTGATTGTCATTACAGAGAGAAATGATTTTGATGTGAATACATATGATTCCCTTATTTTGTCATTATTAAAAGTATGCAAGACACTTTCCCAATGGTCAAACATTTTTAAAGGGACATTATGTCAAACTTACAATTTCATGTTCTTGACCTTTGTAACAACAAATATGTTCTATTAATGGTTTAAACATAGCAAAAAGATTCATTTTAAGAATCACCTAATATAATGGTTGCTTGTGTCTTTTAACAGTAAAACACGACTGTGTGTTTGGTGATGATTTTGAGCTAAGTGAGATAACGATTGTTTCAGAGGTACATGAATTTATCTCCTTTTTACCCCATTTATCACGCATGACAAGACATGACAAAATATGTTGTACTGCATTTGTTGTGCAAAAGACGTGAATGCCCTCGTTATCCTCATCATAAAAAATAGCCCTAGAAAGCTTTTTTCTTTGCAAATCTTCGAAAATAGTCCTCAAAAGCTTGTGTGTGCAAATGACATGAATGCCCTCCTCATCCTTCAGGCCTTAACAAATAACGATTGCAGATTTTGGAGGGGCTTAATCGTCCAATTCTTTATTCACTCTCACCTGGAACAAGTGCCACACCAGTCATGGCTCAGCAAGTTTCAACCCTTGTGAACATGTATAGAGTCACTGGTGATGACTGGGATAATTGGGGAGATGTTGCAGCCCATTTTGATGTTTCAAGGTAATGTGTATACATTGTTGACTTTTTCAGTCAACCGCATTATTTTCTGAATTGAAATTTGTTATGAATCAAGTCGTAATTTAACAACATTTCTGTTTTTCTAGTACTTGTTATGAAGTCGAACCAAATCCAATTTTGTCTCTCACAGAAATTTCAAACAATTTAAACAAAGTCGATTTCCAATAAAATATAACCCAAGTCGTATCATTTTTAATTAATTTGGAAAATTTTCTTGTTTCTTAGAGATTTTGCAGCTGCTAGTATGATAGGAGGCGGAGGTTTGCTGGGAAACTCATGGCCTGATTTAGATATGCTTCCACTAGGATGGCTTACTGACCCTGGTTAATTTTCGTTCTCAAATTTTCAATTAATAATTTTAATTTTATAAAACAAAAAAACCAGATCTCTTTTTTTTTTTTAATTTGTAAAGAGCTAATGAAATACCAAATCGATTAATTAAGTTTTATTTGTAGGAGTCAATGTTGGTCCACACAGGTTGTCAAGACTTACTCTAGACGAGCAAAAAACTCAGGTGGGTTGATTTCGTTCTTTCTCTAAAGATAATCGAATCAAATTTGTTCATTCTTTTTAAATTTTGACTTTCTTTGACTTTTTACAATTTGCAGATGACTTTGTGGTCAATGGCTCGATCACCTTTAATGTTTGGAGGAGATATGAGAAAGCTCGATGATGCAACTTATCGACTAATCACAAACCCAACACTACTGGAAATCAACTCTTTTAGCTCAAACAATAAGGAGGCATGTTTTACTATTTCCACTAATTCCTTTACTTAATTACTTGCTTCATCACCTAAAAAAAGGTCAACTTGTAATTTTTGTAATTTGTTATCTTTTACTATGTAAAGAAAACAAATCTCAATATTTTGGAAGTTGAAGGGTAAGTAAGTAAGTTGACTCTTAAAAGTCAAACTTGGTCTAACAATTGTATCGTATTGTCTACAGTTTCCTTACATTACCAACACGGCTGAATTCCAATTCTTGAAACAAGGTCCACACTTTCAAACTAGAAGTCTAAAAGACACGGGTGCATCAGAAAAACTCATTTTAGGGCTCTCGAGTTGTCATGATTCCAAAGCCAAAGGGTGGTTTGTGAAAGCAGTTGATGCGGATCTTGAACAAGTTTGTTGGAGATGGCCATCAAGAACCAAAAATTTCGAACCTTTTTGTCTCTACAAATCGGACCCTCTTTTACAATCGTAATTTCCTAAACCTCTTTCATGTGTAGAGCATTCTTTTTTCTGCTAAAAAAGATTATTCTTCCAGCAACCCCTGAGCTGACCCACACTGTCTGAGCTGACCCACACTGTCTGCCCTAGGACCATCATGTGAGAGGTAAATCAGGGACACTCTGGCTAGCATAAGGGCCCAATAGCCAGAAGGAGCCCAATCCATATTGGAGTTAACACTCCCACACTGCAACTAACTACTGAGACTCGAACCTTTGGGAGAGAAGAGGGTTATTTTAACATAAAGGTCAATAATTTATTGATGCTAACTTTTTTTTTTCTTTTTTTTTAGAGATGAAGTTACATATAGAGAAAAATATCGAGGGAAGCTTCACCTACATGCAAGAAATAGGGATGGGTTTTGCTTTGATACTTCATCCAAACGGAAACTTACTTCAAAGGAGCATAAGAGAGCGTCATTTTTTCCTTGCAGACCGGATGCTAACCAGGTATGAGTTGGAACATTAAACACCTCTTAGGAGGTGAGAGAGCAAATCTTTTATATCGATAAAACGTGATGCATTATTTGATTGTTGATTTTTTGTTTTTAGATGTGGGAGCTAAACAGCAATGGAACACTTGTGAATAGTTATTCGGGTTCATGTGCTTCTATCAAAGAAACAAAAGCCAATGTGGGTCCCGGAGGAGTTCGCTCATGGATTGCTACCGGAAAGAAAGGTAAATGTTTAAATCACTCTTACAAGATTCGGTTTTTGAACTCAAATGATCACTTACGTATTGTGGACGCCTCATGAACACCATTAACCTTTAGTTTTGTTAACCTATTCATATCATCAACCCGATATTGTAATGTTTCAGGAGAGGTGTATCTTGCTTATTTCAATCTGAATACTTCAAAAACAATTATTTCCACAACTATATCAAATCTCTCAAAGGCATTTCCTATGATAAATTTTGGCTCATGTTCATGCAAAGAGGTTTGGAGTGGGAAAGATTACGGGTCACTACAACATTCACTCTCGGCTTCTGTTGAGTCACATGGTGTTGCCCTTTTTATCTTGACTTGTACTTAGTTTTCATGGGAAACACACAGTCTATTTGTGTTGTATTTGCAATTGCATCGTGGATTCTTGAATTCATAAACAGAAATTCAATGACTTTAAGTAGTTCACGAAGCTTGATTTATTAGATCCCCAAAGGGGTTTGTTTTGTGGTCCCTCCACATTATTTGCAACCATCTAAAGCAACAAGTGAAACCATTTAAAAATTTAGTTTATGGTTTTAGAAACCGACGTGCTTTAAATTTAAAATTCAATCTGTTATAAAATTATTTAACTTAATTGTTGCACTTATTATAGAATGCAAAATTTACAGAAAGGTTAGAAAATATAAATACAAAATCGAACCGATAAATCTCGTGTCAGACATGATTCCCGTAAAATAAGTTCACTCATGTATGTTCCGTAGGACATTTTGAGCAGCTTGTGTAACACCTGCATTTTGGCCTTTTGGGGATGTAAGCTTTGTAAGGGTCGAGGACCTGTTGTAATATGTCGAAGTTATAAGTTTATTTTACGAGACACATTTGTAACGAAGCGTACTGTTCAGTCCTTGTAATTTTTTGTGTGCTTTCATGTTTCCTATAAATAGGGATATTACTTAGAGTTAGATAAGAGTCTTTGTATGAACTTGTCTATGAACTCTCTGTAACAGTTGAAAGCATAATAGAGCTGAAACCAGATCATATTTACATCGTGTGTTCAATCTATATTCGTTTAACTCTGATTTGATTAATACTTGATTCTACACTTCTACAATTGGTATCAGGAATCATAGTCTGCGATCTGATTTTCACTCTGATTCAAAAGGTTTTTGAATCAAATTTTTGGTTCAAAAAGTTCCGCACCTTTTGACGTGAAAAAGCGTTCTAGATCTTCAGTTGTGATTTGATTCTGCAACTGATTTGTTGAACCGAGTGTTCTACTTGATATCTCTGATCAATTCAGCAAATTGCTTTCATATTCTCTTTAATCTCTCAAAAATTCTCAAAAATTTTCTTCCGTACATCAATGGCGAACTTCAATCTCAACTCGATGACTTCATACTCTCATCTGCTAGGATCTTCAACTAAGATTCCTATGCTCATTCTGGAATACTATGATCAGTGGTCTGATCGTATGCAAAATTACTTGAATGGACTCGATGAAGAGCTTTGGTCTTGCATCTCAGGAAATGGTACTCTTCCGACGAATCTTCAACCTATCGGATCTTCGTCTGGTACTACGAGTGTTGATGCTCAAACTGATCGAATGAAGAAACTTGAAAAACGATGCATAAGGGAGTTACGTGGTGCATTGCCTCCAGTTGTGTATAACTATGTCAGAAGTTGTACAACTGCAAAAGAAATCTGGAATAATCTCAAAGAAAAGTTTCAAGGTAGTGAAAAGACGAAAATTAATTCAGTTAAGCACTGTTTGATTGAGTTGAAGGATTTCAAGCAAAAAGATGGTGAAACGATTGAAAGTTATTATGATAGGCTGAACGAATTGATTTACAAATGCAATCGTTATGGAATCACAAGGTCTACTATGGAATTCAATCTCACCTTCGTTATGGGACTCCGTAAAGAATGAAGGAGTGTTAGCATGATGGTGAAAAATCAACAGAGTTTCGACACATCTTCTTTGAATGATTTGTACAATCAACTGAAAACTCACGAAAGTGAAGTGAACGAAATGGCAGAAGAGTCGAAGCTTAGTCTGGGAGGTCCATTAGCACTTGTCTCTAAAGTGTCTGAAAAGGAAGCAGTCGAAAAAGGTGATTCTGATGATGAAGAGGGGTTTATCATGAATTCGGATGATGAGGCAATAGCTTTTTACTCAAACAACCGAGTCAATAAGTTTTTTAAGAAACCGTTTAATCCAAAGGTGAAGCAAAGTGAAGGAAAAGGAGGTTTCGTGAACAAGACTGCTGGAGAGGAGAAGAAGAAGTATGAGAAGAATGATGGGAAGGGTGATGAGGAGAAGAAAGAGAAGAAACTGAAAGGAGATTCTGGTATGGATTGTCATTATTGCAACAGAGCAAATCATCTAGCAAATGATTGCATGCTTCGTAAGAAGGATGAGAAAAAGAATAGGGTAAAAGACGAAGCGTATTATGTGAAGAGGTTGGAAGAAGTACGTACGAAGGTGAAAAATTTGTCTTTAGTGGCTCAAGGTGAACAGGAGAATGATGACACGTATCAAATCTGGTCTTCGGGCTCAGACGATGAAGAAATGCGTAATCCTACGCATGGAGCCATGTATGCGAAGCTAGAGGAAGATTCGGACGAAGAGGTGACGGACTGATGCTTTGTGTCGAAATCTGCTGATAAGTCTCCAATGACAACTAAGGTACTTAATATTCTTCAATCATTCAATATTCCTTTAAGTGCATATGCTTTTGATCTAATTGCTTTTGATGATACTGTTGCTTATTTCGATGCTTTGGTTGTATCTGCTAGCAATGAGGCTAAGAAATCAACTTCTCAGTTGATAGAAGTTCATAAGAAGTTAGATGTCAAGAACATAAAAATAGAGAGTTTAGAATTGCAAATAACGAACAATATGTATGATAGAGATTCGTTGTCTAGTGATGTAAAACTCTTATTAGCACAACGAAACATATATTGTAACTCTGCTAAACGTCTCTATGGCAAATTAACTGCATTACATCATTCGTGTGAAATTAGCAAGGAGCAACATAGGAAATTATTACCTTTTCTAGCATATGAGAGAGCGAATGTTGATAATATTTCGTATGATTGTGAGAAAAATATTGCTGAGTTTGACAAAATTCCTGATGATAGATATGCTTATAGAATTGTCAAAATTGACGAATGTCTTGATTCAAGTGAATTAGTTAACATTGTGAATGATACTTTGACAAAATCAGAACAAATCAAAATTTTGAAAAAGACTGAGAATTCAACATCTGATTCTCAATCTAATTTTGCCGATATTGAAGATAACTCTGATAATATTAGCGAAATTAGTGATATTGAGGATGTTGATTGTTCTCAGTTGTCTGTCATTAATGTTGCATCAAAATCTAAAGGGAAAGAAAAACTTAAGGATTTGGTGGTTGAGATTGACACTGACAAACCTTCAACTTCGAAAGTTTGTGATCCCGATTTTGTGGATATCCAAGATAGTCAAACGGATAGCAGTGATGATGAAAATGATGAAGACGATTCGCACAAAAAGGTCTCATCAAACAAAGATTTGAAAGAAACTGAAATTCCCTGTTTTGTTGTTGATCAAGTGTTTGGGGACACTGAAAATTTCAACAAAGTGTTGTCTGAAAAAGGAGCCCATTATTTAGAAACAAATCAAGTGGTGTATCCAAATTTCAAGTGTATTGATGATGTTGTATTTCCAAATCAAGTGTTTTTCACTACTGGAAACGTTGACAACATTAAACCAGAATTCAATAAAATGGTCAAATATGACAACAAGAAAACAACAGACGAAGGATTCTTTTCAAATCAAAACACTGTCGAAAATAATCTCACAAAGAATTTGTATGTTTTTCAAAGACAAAAACCACAACGCCAATGAGTTGAAAAATCGAAAGTTGTGAAAGAAGTTACAAAAGAGGTTGTTGTGGAAAATGAAATTGTTGTCAAATTAAATTCCAAAGAATTTAAAGAACAAATTGACAAGTTTTCAAAAGAAAATAAAATTTCAAAAAGGCAAGCTCGAAAGAAGATTTTTTGGCAAACCGTGGAGTATCGAAAGAAACAAAATGGTTTGACATTGAAAACGACTGAAAACACAAAGACTAAATCTGTTGAGAATAAGTCTTCAAATTCAGAACTTTATTCAGATCAAAAGAAAAATCCCGCTCAAACAAATAAGATTAAATCTGAACTTTCACCAAAACCAAATTCTTCGAAAGTTCCAAAAACAACGTTTTCCAAAGATAATAAAAATACCTCAAAGAGTGTTCAAAATCAACCCTAACCACAACGATTTTCTTCTAATAAAAAACATTGATCATTGGCTTGAAGGAAAAGGACGAATGTATCAATCAAGGAAATATTCTCAACAACAAATTCACGAAGCTTATGAGCAGTATGTGAATACTTCGTCAACTGAAAGCTCATCTTCAAAAGATTCTAATGTTTCGGTAAAAACTTGGCAACCGGTTTCGAAAGAAAAACATGTTCATACACAATCTAAAAAGACGAAGGCATGTGTCAGTGAAAATCCCAAACTATCAAAAACTTATGTTTCTGTTCCTTTACCTAGTGATGTGGACTTAATTGATAGTCTCAAAACTAAAGTTTGTGATTGGGTTAAAAGTTCTGTATTTCATTATGTTTTCAAAACTAATTTCCAAGGACCCAAACAACCTTGGGTACCTAAATTCTTTCATTGATCGTAGGTGCTATGTGACGAGCAATATGATGAGAAATGGTATATTGATAGTGGTTGCTCACGTCACATGACTGGACGAAAGGAAAACCTGAGAGATTTTCGAAGCTTGGAAAATGCTGGTGTTGTGAAGTTCGGAAACAATCATAAATGTCAAGTGAAAGGCTATGGGAAAGTAACAAATGGACAGTTTACTATAAACCGTGTTGCTTATATCGAAGGTCTGAAACATAATCTGATAAGTGTTTCACAACTTGTTGTGGGCACTGGAAATCAAGTTGTATTTAACGAAGAAGGGAGTATTATCTCAAAGGTTGAAACAAACGAAGTGTTGCTGAAGTCAAAACGTTATGGTGATATGTTTACTCTTGATCTAAAACCAATCATCGGCAAACCCTCAGTGTGCTTACTTTCGAAAGCTTCCTCTTATATCAGCTGGCTATGGAATCGACGTTTATCACACTTAAACTTTCGAAATTTGAATAAATTGGTTGTTGATGATCTTGTTCGAGGTTTACCTGTACTAAAGTTTGACAATGATACCTTATGTGCAGCTTGCGAACAAGGGAAACAACATCGGAAAGGACATCCAATTGTGATAGATTCGAAAATTGTGGAACCGTTGGAACTTCTTCATATTGACCTTTGTGGACCATCAACTGTTGAAACTCTTAACAAGAAACGGTACATTTTGGTTATTGTTGATGATTTTTCTCGATTCACTTGGGTGTATTTTCTCAGGTTAAAATCTGAAGTCGCTCAAACAATGATTGATTTTA